GGGTCCGATTGGTTGCCATATAATTTTGCTGTGATTAGTGGACCAAGCGTCGTAGACTCACAATAGATCCCACTTGCGGCAGATCGCCTTCATCTTCGCTTACGGATAGTGAGCGAAACCGGACGCTGTCGAGTATCTTGCTCCTCGAAGGAGCTTTCAGTCTCGGCGCGTAGTGCGATCGCGTTGCCGACAAGACCACAGATGTTAGACACCAAGTCACCCAACACGCCAGGAATGAAATGTAAGAACAAGGTTGAATCTGAAAAATATAGTGGGTTGACTAATTTGGAATCATTTTGNGGTGGTGGCGCAATGGTTTAATCACTGTCATCGGCTTGCTTTGGATCCTATAGTCCGAGGTCCGAGTCCCGTTACTGCCACCCAACCTTGCTGGTAGACAGCGTTTCTATCGTCCGGTTCACAACCAAACCCAGTAATCCGCCGCTCCAAGTCCGGGGGATTAAGTTGCCGGTTTTTATCAATAAACAGCAGGTCTTCTTGACTATAGGGCTTCCCCCTGTCTGCTGTTCATCACACTTACGTGTATGAGGCAGCCCGTTATCCAGTTCGAGCATCCAATCAAGTGGATGAAAATAGCACTTAACTGTTTAATGTTGGCCACTGATAGCTCACCAGCCAAATATGAAAGCTTCCCCCGTTATTGAAAGGAAACCGTAGGTATTAGAGTACTCGTGTCGTCCGATTAGGTCCTCACTCAAAGCGAACCTTTTCGGAGTGCAACTTTCGCTGAGGCTTTTAGTCAGTAACAGGAGACAGGTGTAAAACCCGTCCATTTGGACTGCACCGGACTAATTTGAGTAGAACCATCTAGCAGATACCACGATCAATACCATCCCCGCATTTATTTTTTTTCTGTCTTCGACCTATTTCATTTGTTGGTGAGGTGTTCGTGCTTCCGCAAAGTTGGTAACAGTCGTATGTGTTCTTTTTGCGTTGATTTAATCGCAGGCAAACTAGGCGACAGGAAATCATCGCGCGACTTCCCGGTATTTCAGTTTTGAATCGGGTTGAAATTACTGCTGAAGAACGTCGTGGTGCGGAACTGGACTATATGAAACGATACGGATCAGAATGGATTGCTTCCGGCGGAACAGTGGTCGAGTCTGCGAATCCCGCGGACGAGCCAGCTATCACGATGGGTGAATCTTTTGCCCGAGATCATCCTATCTTCTCTCGACTGTGTGCTAAATATGGACCCCCTGAAGCCGGAGAAACCAAGGTAAGTGGTATCTGTTTTCTCGACTCTGAATTATCACTTCGATGCTACCTGCGTTTTAGACTAGTGTATTCTACATGATAAAAAATAACAACAAGAGCGCCACTGCTGTCGGTTCGCTGCTATATCCCTCACTGTCTCCAACCAACCAGTTGCGGAGTCTTTCGGACCCCAACCTTGAAGGCGCGAGACACCTACTGTGCTTAATAGCTCTGTGCGTTTCTTCGAG